ACAATGAACTCGAGCATCATGTGCATTACCATATTGTTATTAAAACTTAGGGATAATTTATGAACTTAAACATATAATTAAAGATAATCAATTTAGACTCTCCAGCGTGAGGAGTGGCCCGGTGATCCGCTAAGCTGTGTGCAGGACTCTGTTTACAACCAACATATTCACTGACCTTTTTCTGGTGTGGGATTTGATGCGGCTGATCAATTCAACATTATTTCACCCAAAAAAAAAAAGAAGGGTTATGAACATTTTATCCCCAAATGTAGTGAGTGTGTGTGTGAGCCCTGCTGTAATGCAAAAGATTAATTTGCAGGCGTTAGGCTAATGTGGATCGCTCTAATGCGATTCACATTAGAGTGGGCCTCGGGGGCCAGCAATGCAGGACTTCTTGATGCAGAGAGGAAAATTAATTAAAACAATAATCATGCATTTCTGCTCATTAGTTTTGCACAGACAGTAGCTCTTTATCCCGGTGTGTCTTTCCTGATGTATGTCAGGTATAGCGAGGAGTTGCTCGCTCAGGGGGACAATCGCATGGTTGCATCAGGCAGGTGCCATGGCTGATGTGAGAAGGAACAGAAGGGAAGCCCGGATAAAAGATTCCTGTGCATCTGTGCTGAAGTAGAGCTTGATAACTCTCAGTTTGACAGACTGTGGTATCTAGGACAGGGGACCTCTTTAAACCTCTTTCCTCTCTCTATTTCTCTCTGTTTCTGTGTTCCTTCCCTCAAACTTCGAGATCATGCCAAGTCAGTTTGACTAAGAACATTAGGGTGTCACAGCTTGGGATTTGGCGTTTGCAATTCTATTAGAGTGACTACTTTATAGGCGGACGTCTTCCATTCCCTCTACCTCTCCTCCTGGCGTCGCCACTGCCATCCAAAAGATGCAGGTTTTTACATATCAAAGCTGTTGACTTGCCAGAGTCGTTCCTTCACGCCTTTAATGCTCTTTGCTTCCGAGGACCGTACCTCGGTCCCTTGATCAAGTTACTAAACGCGGCTTTGCACATGGCTCACCACCAAAGGCGGGCAAGCTCAGGCTGAGACCTGGAAACGCAGGCGAGAAAAGCATCTCAGAGGGATTGGCTTGTGCTTACACACAATGAGACAGGCCAGGGAAAAGAAGGGAGGGGGGCATACCAACAGTGGTACTAAGCAAACAACAAAAGCAGGCTTGAATTGTGTTAATGGAGTTAAGATTCAAGCTGAGAAAAGAGGGGGAAAGGTCTATGTATTTAGTGAACGTAAGAGAGTCAATATTGCGCGTTGCTGTGTACAGTACATGAACACATGTCTCAAATATACTCAAATGATGTCTCAGCAAGCCAACAACTCAAGTACGGATTGTTTTTGCAATTTAAACTCGGGCTTTGATGCCAACTATTAATAAGTAACAAGAGTCTGACGGGGAGCAGAACTTGCTCTGAAGTGAGAACATGGCAGAATGATTGATTTATCAACACCAAAGCTCTAATAACGTTCTTCATTACGAGTTCTGCTTTGAAGATGCCGAACAGATGAAAGTGATGTACGGCATCAAGAACTGTAGTGCAAGAAAGGTGCTTTATTAAAATAATATCACATAATGAGGAATAATTGCATTCCAGAGGAACTCGTGTAGAAAGGATGAGAATAATCAGAAGTGAATAGATGTGCTTCAGTGTGTCTTGAACCATTTGTGTCATCCTGTGATGCAACCGCATGCCAAGAAAAATCTATCATTGAGATGAATTCCAGATTTAATGGCATGTGTCTTTCACCCCAAGTCGTTCTCCTCCAATCCTGAGGAATGCTTTTTCCATTTCAGTGTGCATACCTGTGAGTGAACCCCGGTCTACTGTCACTGAGACTATGGAAGGGGGCAGCAGTGTTTGCCAGGAGATGACCTTTCCTGGTTGGATGTCAGAGGAGGAAGCCCAAAAGCCCATCCATTTGTTGCTTTTTAAAAAAAAATACTGATAAAGCTGCTCTTTTTTAGTTTTCACAATATCATTCTGCATGTATCAAGGCCAAGGAAGAATGTGAAGATTATAAAAATATGTATGCATGTGAATGCAGAATCTGAAGACAAGGGGCGACATTTATGTAAAAAGAATCCTGATTTCAGTTTGAGGTTTCAGTGTTTTGACAAACTGTGAGAGAAAGTGATTTAAGAGAGTTTAAGAGGCTGAATGCATTGACTTCAATCCAATCCTGAATGCCATTGACTATCGTCTTATTAGTCTCGACAAAAATAAATCTTTATATTATCCAGACAACGATTCAGTCCTAGATTTTAACATTCAACTACATTCCATTTCTCTAGTTTATAGTCTGACTGTTAACTATGACCAGCACACTGAAGAAGTCTTTGCCTGCTTATCCAAACAAGTGTTTGGCTTCATCAGAAGACCCCAAAATGTCTCTCATCTTCAAAGGTAATATTGTCCACTCGTAACACTATGTTCAATGGGCTTCACGATTGCAGCGCCTGCGCTACAAGAGTGTATGGTCTTAGTTTGCACTTCGTGAATAGTGTTTATTAGCATGAGGAACTACGCTCATTTTTGCTCTTGACCTTTTGACTCTGAGCAGCAGCTTGACAGATCATTATTCTGTAAATAACTTATTATTGCAAATGACATCAATAGTTTGTATTTCACAGTTTAGTGAAATTTCATGTAGATACAAAAATATGTTGTTCTAGTGATAGTTTGTGAATAATTCAATTATTTTTTTTGAATCACTTGTTAGCACAGCAACACACAGTAAGCTTGTTAATGACAGAAGATAACTAGCATCTTTTTAAGTTAGTTAGTTTTCTGTGGTGGATGGGATGTCGTCAGTCTATATGAACTTTAAGTGTACATAAGTTCGAAGAGAAAAAAGAAAATGGGAATGGTTGGGTTTCATGAGGAGAAGATTGATACTAAATCAGCCAAAGAGTCTTTATTATGTTAAAAGACTTTTACTTCTTAGTCATATTCTTCTCTTAATCTCTATAAAACATCCCTCTATTTTGTACAGACAATGTATGACATTTCCTTTTTTCGTTTTTCAGTGATTCAAAGATGATGTTTTTGCTCACAATGTTGCTGCAAATTAAGCAACGTTGCTAATTGCAGCATAATTGTAGCTGTTTACTAAAAAAGCATCTGGGCAGTGAGTGCTTATTTGCTTTTTTCCTAGACTCTAATTGTCCTCCTCTGAGAGAAATTGTAGACAGACTACAGTACGTGCCCTGCTGCTTCCCACAGATCACTGTGACCCTCTTTCCTGCTTAATGCTGGAGGCAGTTAACTGCTCTCTGCTGACAGAGAGCTGAGACATCATCTACTCTGCAATTGAGAAGCAGGCGCTATTGTAGATATGTGTCTATTTCATGCGGGTTACTGTACACTTGATTGATATTTTAATGTCGCTGTAAAGAAAGACATGGGGAGAGGATCAATATGTAAATACAGCATTTTAAATTTAAGGTTTTCAAAAAAAGCAATTGCACTAGTCTCTCAGTTTCACTTTCAAAAATGAGTCTCCAACACCACGGCGTCTTTGCACGAGGCAGCACAGCCAGCGAGTGTTGCTAATTAATGGCGGGCGTCTTAGAGTCCAAATCCTTTGTTTACTTCTGGGTGTCAGCACTGGTGCGTACCAAAGCCACCAACCTTTGATATGGGCTGTCATCACTGAATAATCATAATCAATTCAGCCCTAAAAATTTAACAGTCTTCTTGAGAGAAAATAAAAACTTCATTAATCCCTTAACACAGCACAGTGGGTAACCGCTAAGCTCATACGTGAGACCCATAGTAAAGAGTACAATAAATCTCCTGGGGAAAAAAACCAGGGCAGAGTTATGCTCTAATCCTTGGCGGGATGAACGAATAGGGGGGCTGCTCTGCTTCATTTTTGATGAAAATGTTGGTGGGCGATGTGTCAGGTTTACCCTGTTTCAAAACCCTGGTTGAGCTGTGATCATAATACAGGTTTACTGTCCACATTTAATACCTTGTTGGATGTTTTCTGCAGCCTTGCGTTTTTTGCACGTCCAATAATGAGAACACATTTTTAAGATTGCTGTCAGCATAAAATATGTTAATTTGCCTTTTACAGTATGAAAGAAGTTTAAAAGAAACATACTGCCACACAGGTTCTTTCTAAATTAGCGTAAATTGAGATGGACGCAATGCGCGGATTAACTAAGTAGGCCATGATTAAAACAATGAGACTCTGGCTATGACACTTGGTTTTCCATTTCCTATAATCACTTGCCAGAGAACATTAGCACCCCACATGGATCACTTTAATTTAATTTCTATCCATTTTCTGTTTCTTTTTGCGGCAGAGAGAAACATCCGCGGCATTCCTGAATGAATGACAACAATGCTTTGAATCCCTGACGTACGTTTGAAATATTCCATTCACATCTACATAAATGAATACAAAATGAATACTTGCGGGAATAAATTAGCCGCTCCCTAATTAGCTGTAAAGCCATCTTTGAATGTCAGATCTCAGAAAGAGGTTTCTCAATGAGTGGGAGCGGTAGGGAGTCTAAGGCCTTAGGATATGGTTGCACACATTCTTTGACGTGAGTGTAAAGCACACTCAAAACACATACAAAAACCTACAAGAGTGATATAATGTAAGCAGAGCTTTTTCTCAACCATTATTACTAGATATACCAGATTCACAATCAGCAGATGAAAATATATCTCTCATTGTAAGAGGTGGAGTCAGAGCTTTTTCCTCTCAGACCTGACTCAGGGCACAAGGGGACTGGACTAATTTTACAGCCCTCAGAAGGAAATTGGATGGGCGTGGAAGGACAGAAATAGAAGAATATTCCATTTTAGTCACACTTGATTAAAAGAGGAAAGGATTAATTAAAAGGCATACAAAGAAAACACATCATAGATACAATTGATGCACCACACATTTATAGACACATAACTGCAACATACAAAGAGACAAATTCACACAGATTAAAAAACAAGAAGTCTGTTTACTTACATTGTACGATCAGCTCCACTACGGCCTCACGCGGCTTTACGTTGAACCCGTTATACTGGCTTGTCTGGCAGCGGTACGATCCCGTCATCTCCCTTGACACATTAACAATACGTAGCACACCGTCATAGCTCTCCATCTGCATGCTTCCGTCCGGCATAGGCGCCTCTTTATCGGCCCGTGACCACAGGATGATGGGCTTGGGCTTTCCTGAAACAAGGCACTCCAGCTCCACTGTGTCACCCTCTCGGGCCACCAGGGGGGACTTGCCCCGGGGGACTGTCAGGTTTGGGGGAACTAAGAAAGAGAAAAACAGAGGAGGGACTGATATGGGGCTCTAGAAAGTCAGCAGGCGGGGTAAGAGGAAATGGTCGAATGGGGGGAGAAGTGGCGTGGGAGGTTTGAGGGGAAGCGAATGAGCATCCAAGTTGCAATGGCAATGAAGCTGAGGCTCAGCAACATACACAGCTCATATGGAAGGACCATGCGGATATTAGCAGCGGTAATGACTAACGATCTGAGAATGCACTGAGTAGGCAAAACCATCAAAAAGGGCAGCAGTGAAAGAATTAAATGCAATCAAGCAATGGCAGACAATGAACAATGCAATGAAGAGCTGACAAGCAAATGCACTTAGTTACCATATAGCCACAAGCAAGAAGTTCAGGGTCAAAACTAGGACCTAAATTCCCCTTTGAGCATTTCAGCATCTGCCTCTGAGATACTGTGTAGACTGTTAACTGTCAGAATTGAAAATACCATTAGCAAATACTAACAAAAACAAATGGGAAAATTTGGAGGATACTTTAGAGTTGGATGACAAGATTGATACCACTCTCACATCTGGAGCCAACAGCATCTTAGCTTAGCATAAAGACTAGAAAACAGGGCTGACCGCGGTTTTACTTCTTTCATTCACTGTCTCCAATTACATGCTCATGGAACTCCCTATAATTCTCCTTCTCACTTGATAACTCTTTGTGCGGTCGGTCTGTTTATAAAGTTGGACACCTGGCAATCTTGCTTTGTTTTTATCTAAATAACTCATGAAACAAATGTTGGAATATTCCCCTGCCACTGATTCTATTGGTACGTCATACTTTCTATGAATGAGGTTACTGAAGATGTAGAATCCATTAGTTTCACAAGTTTTGGAAAATCAGCAGCAGTCATTAGGTGTTTTCGGACCAAACAGTTCTGGGGATTTTTTGAAGGGGAATTATCCAGTAGGGAGTTCCCTGAGAACTAGACAACATAGATACTTTTTTCTGTCTGCATTCACACTGGCTGGGGGCTGGGAGAGTACCGACTCTGCGGCAGGAGCTAATAAGGTTCCTCTAAACAGGGTTCTAGGAACAAAACTAGGTCATAGTTCATGTTGTGCAGAATCAATTAAAAGGTGGGAGGGTTCCTACAGTCCCTAGAACTATGAAAAAGTTCCTGCGGTCCAAAAAACCACATTATCACAAACCTTATTAGTTCCTGGGACTTCAAAAAGTTCAACCCACAAGCCCTTTTCCCCTCAAGGAACTATGCAGAGGAACTCAATTAGGTCACTTTTTCCAGCCAGATAGAAAAACATTCCCTAAAATAATTATTTGGCCAATGCAAAAGTTCTGGCAGTGACAACGAGTCACCAGATAAGAAGGCATTGGAATCCCATTTTAATCTACTCTACATCCTTCTCAGCGGCTAAGTTACATCACCATTCTAAGACACATGCAACATTATTGTCAGGGTTGACATTTGGATTTAGGAGCATTACAATATTCTCATCATCACTCTCTCACATTTTCATCATCACATCACCTCCTCTATGCAACAGCATTTTACAGAGTGATCTTCACCACCACATTACAGCATTCATAACTCTTATCACCATCACTTGCATCATTAACACTCCTTTTGGCCGCTTTTTGTTTCTCTGCCCTCCTTCTCATGCAGCCAATCAATTTCAGCACAGCTTCTGCATACACTTCAGTGCATTTACAACAGAAACCCTCCCAAAGGAGATGCAGCATTATTACAGGCCGTGTAACAATATATGACGCAATAAATATTTTGCCTTTGTTTAACAGACATTTTAGAGCCATTCAGAAAGAGAACAATGAGTGATAAAAGAAGTGAAGAGTGCCAAATTGCCAGACACAATCTCAGGTTACCTGTAGTGTTCCTCTGTGTGAGTATGTGTTCTATGTTTGGAGAGCAGGGACACTAGCAGTTTGGATCAAGCAGTCTGTTTCCTCTTCAAGCATGCTGGCCAAGTAAATTTGTTTAATTAGTAAACCTGGCAAATGGCACCGGCTCCTAGAGTGCTCTGTGTGTGTATGTGCGTGTGCTTTTGTGTGAGTTTGTGTATTTCTGTGCGAATCCAAACCGTCAGCACACTCCAAGTCTATTTTGAAGCACTGCTCGCGAAACTAGTTTACAGCCAGCAAGTAGAGGAGTGAAAATCTTCTCAGCAATGATGAAACCATGTCATGCTTCCCTGATGATTTTTGAATCACTGTCATTCTGCCCAAACAATGCTGCAGCTGGAATGAAGTCAAGCCACATTGAAGATTCACAGTGATGAAATCACCAGAAATATCCAGAAAAGGAAGCAGAGTCCAGCAACATTTGTTTTGACCCCAATTCTGTCTAGTGACTGGTATTAATCTTACTGTAATGACTACTCTGCAACTGTCCGTTATCTCAAAAAGTCAAAAGGTAAAAGCTGGAGCTACAGAACAGTATATTTCAATCTGCTACAAACTATGAAAAACTGAACACGCTGCACTGATTCTAAGGTTGTGCAAAGCCCCATCCTCAATTAAATACAATAAAAACTCAGGAATCATCTGTAAATTACACTTATTGTTAACACAATGTTATGCATTAATATCATGAAGGTCCAGAAGGAAGTTAAGAGTTGGTTTAAAACTTGTATAAAATATATAGTTATATTATCACCTTAAAAAAATGGTGTTGATTTGTATTTGAATAGTAAGAGGCATTGGTTAACAAGTGAAACAGCACCATACAACCCCTCGTAAGCTTGCATGAAAACCATGCACAAAAAAATCTTACCAATCAAATAGCAGCAGATATGCAGCAATATAAGCAATCATTTAGAGTAGGCTGTCAGATAAATGTAACTCCAATATTCCCTCACCTTTGAGCTCTGTTGGTGTTCACCATTTCTAAATATTGTTCATTTGGTAGCAAGATGCTCCACCACATACACCAGCTAGGAGCTAACATATTCTGTGCTGGTTGACAGAGGCTTTTTCTATAAATGAGTGGTGTGCTACCTGTGTCAATAGTGAGTGGTGAAAGTCAACTATAACAGTCAAGTGAAACACCAAGCTGAAGAAGGTGTTAGCTGATACGTGTTGGTGTATTTGAATGTTTCTAGCCCAATGAATTAAAGGCCTTTTGTATTTTTCTAACCATCCTGAGTGCCTGGACCTGGATTATTTATACCTATGTTTTTTGCTCTTAAGTTTTCCTCCACTTTTTATAACAGTTCAAGTTTTGTGTCATTTAGCCAAAACAATGAGCTTATAGGATACAAAATGCTATATACATGTACATGGTTGCAGACTGCTGATCATTACTTGTGATTGAGTCTTTAAAGGGGACACCCTTTCAAACACATGGATCAAATAATATTTCCCATTACCTCTTTAAACCAATTCTACTGTAGATGGTTTACTGTAAGATTAATTCTTGAGGTAATACGGTAGATACAACTTTAGATTACTTTTCAGCCATTGCAGGCAGCTAGGTTTATTTTAAGAAATGCATAAAAGTGTTTGCCATCATTTGCAGGCGATAATGAAGGCTAGTCTTTCACAAATAAGTCTTAGAAACACTAATTGTCACCAAACTGGCAGCAAAAATGATCTCCACAGAGACAATGACAGTGGACACTCACTTCATTCTCATATACATTCACCGATTGGTATTCACGCAACGTCTCCACTGAGGCAGCCAGGTGTCAAGAGCTGACATATTTCTTTCCACAGCACATTTTCTCCACTTTTCCCAACGTTTCCTTGTGTCCAAACAGTGAAATGGGGAATTGACAGCAGCAAAATGGGGAGGGGGAGGCATCCATAATACCCAGTGGAGGAGAGGTGTGTTCACTGAGTTGCCATCATTACACCTGGCCTCTCTCCGCTGCACGGATAAGGCAGACAATTATAGCCGTCTGCCTATTTGGTTTGACAGCGCAAACACTAGCCATCAGCTGACATTGTCTGTCCCTGCACCATCATTTTGACACACAAAAAAAAATAAAAAAAGGTGCACATACACACAGACATTCGCTCATTCTCTCTCCTGCTGTCTCTCTTTCCAAGCGAACACCCTGACTCTGTGTTAGAGACTGACCGCTGAGATGCTCAGTGTGGCAGAGAGCCCGCTACTGGTCTTCTCTGTGCTCTCATTGTGCCAAAGCCATCCAAATGCCAGTGATGCCTGCAGGGCATGCCCGCTGTGTGCGTATGCTTGTATAGTGTGTGCTAAGACAGTTTTATGTCAGTGCGTGTGTGTGTATAGCTGAGTGTTGCTGTTCTCGCCCACGGGTGACACCATGCTGTGATCCTTATTCAGTTCCTCGATAGGAAGCTTCTGGTTGCTGTTGTTCACTGAAAACCATGTTTCTGTGTTTGTGTGAGCCTTTTGTACTCTGTGGACCTAAACTGGGAATTGGACCTGCTTTTATTGGGCCTCTTGTAGCACTGCCGGTCTAAGAACTGGTATGATCATACTTAAAGTACAAAGAGTGATTTCTGGAGCATTCTAGTGCAATGCAGGCTGACTACAAAATTGAGTACTTATGCATTTTCTTACAACGATGGGAGCCAGAGTGGTGTGCATGGACGTGTTTGAGAACAAACAACATCCCGACTGCCCCCTTTTTTGGATGAGAGTTGTGACATCACTCCCCATCACCATGGCAACATCCTGCTCTCCACTACTGCATCTCCTGCAGTGTGTGTGTCCGTGTGTTTCGACAGCTTGAGGCCAATGAGTCGGTCACAATGTGACAGGACTCTGTGCTCCTCTGAGACCTGGACCACTGGGGACAGACAGGAGTCCCGTAGGTCCACGATGGACTTGTTTGTGAATCCGTGTGCATTTTCATGTGTGCACGAGGGAGCTGCATCTATACTCCGGGCTGCTGAAGTGTAATAAATATCCACAGATGTGTTAAAATAGGCTTAGTGCATTGATACACTTGAGAGACACACTACAGACCGCCACTATGTGTTTGTTTTTTTGATCTCCTTGCAGCTCCCCAGAGGTTT